AATAAATAAAATCTTTTAAAAAAGTTTTAAAGAAATAAAAATTAAAAAAGAATGAAGGTGCTTATTAGGAACTAATGACCAGCAACCTAGGAAAATGGAAAGTTGGAACTGAGGCCTTCTTACCCCAGTGTAAGGACAAACTAAAAACAATTGCTTGCTCACATAGTGAGATGACAAGGAGCCTGCTTGTCCTTCAAAAAAAAAAAGCTTTTCCTTAAAGCTCATAATCATAGAGGTGCCCTCACATGGATATGATTAAATTTATATAACTAGAGTGGTCTAGGAAACAGCCTACCAAGAGATTAATACAAAGCGCACAGACTGGCAGTACCGTGGGGCACCTCGTTAAAACAAACAAAGACTCTCTGGGAGGCCACACCCCCAGGACTCCCCTCTGTGAAGTCCCAACTAAAGATTAATTTATAATAAAAAATTAGAAAACAATCCACAGAAAGCAAGAGCCAGCAAACAAAAGAGAAAAATCAATATTAAGACTCCAAGATTTTTAGATAATATACTATCAGATACACTATGAAATAAATATTTTTAAAGTTATAAAAGCCATAAAGGAATAAAGGACACAATAAAAGAATAAGACACCATCAAAAAAAGAGAAACCAGACTGAGTTAAATAATAAATCAAACATAACTTCACACAGAAATGGGGAGAAGGGGCTAACGGGCAGTGGGTGCGGAATTGGAGGGTCCGACACACACCTGTCAGGTGTGCCAGAGGGAAATAACAGAGAAAAGTGGAGGTGAGGCCGTATTTCAATACAGTCAATGAGAATTTTCCAGAAGTAATGAAAGAGACAAGCCTTAGCAAGTTAGTAATACTGAATTCTCTACTAGACACAACATAGTGTAGCTGAAACGACACCAAGGAGAAAGGCGAGAGCCTAGAAGCACTGCTACACTGGAGACCTGGTGCCTGCAAAGGAATGAACATCGGATTGCCTGGAATCTTGCAAAGGCTGCAACAGAAGCCAGGAGGGCGTGGGGTAATATATTAAAAGTCCTAAGAAAAAATAACCATCAACTTCCATTCTAACTGAACCATCATTTAAGAATATGGACAAAACAAACATCCCCAGGCAAATGAAAACGAAGTGTGTTTACCACTGACAATCTTTCCTGGAAAAACTGATCAAGAATGTATTTCAGAAGCATTTGAACCTAAAAAGAAGAGTGAGATGTAGGATATTAGATAGAGAAAAACAAAACCAAATATTTTAATAGGTAAAAAAAGACTAATTGGGGAGTAAAAAAACAAGGTGGAATGAAGGCACTGGTCACAGTAGTTTGTAAGTGGGCAGGAGGTCAGCAGAGGTCCAGCATTCAGGGGAGAAAGGTGGCAATGTTGCTTAACTTTAGACTATTAGATCAGCTATGCTTATTAAAAGATACGTAAAGGTAATCACTTGAGAAATTGTATGTATAATTTTTCAACCAGCAGAGAGAACATTACTGTATATAAAAAATTTGGTCAATAGTTAACTAAATACAAGAAAAGAACAGAGAATCAGAAAATATCAGGTTAAAAATAAAGCATGAGAGAAGTGACTGAAAGAAATTCAAATATAGCAGGACTCAGAACAATGGTAAAATTAAACTCTCAACTAGAAAGATTGTCACTTGTATTGAATTAAAAAATGCAACTATAGCTTTAAAAAAGACATAGAACTTAAGGACAAAAAATATCAAATAGAAAAGTGTAGAAAATACAAGCAAAATATTAGTCGCAGTAAAGTGGTGTGATTATAATTAGAGTAGACAAGGTTGTCTCTGATGAAATTTTTAAAAAGTCACTAACAAAGGACAAAAATGAACAATTTACTCAGAAGAGATAATATAACTCAAAGGCAGCTAAAACATAGCATCAAGTTCAATGAGGTAAAAAGTTGATAAAATTTCAAAAATGACTGGACAATTGCATAGTCATAGGAAGATTCTGACACCTCTCTTTCGGTAACTGATGGTTTAGAAAGACTGAAAGTGAGCGAAGATGCAGACCTGAACGACACAACGAGCAAGCGCGGGCAAAGCGACCCGGCGAGGATGTGCATTCCTTCCAGGAACACAGGAGACGCCTACCCAGAGATCTCATTAGGCCACAAAGCAGTTCGTGGTAAACAGCGACAAATCATACAGACCACATTCTTGATAATACTCAATTGCTAGACAACAAAAAGAACAATGAAAACCAAACCATATATTTGCATTTTTGGGGGGGGAAACCCTCTGAATAATTTATGACTATAAAAGTGTCTTAAGAGACGGCCTAAGAGCAAATTGTTAACACTAATAAGGAAGGTCAGTGAGATCACTGGCTATATAAAAGTAAATTTTTATTTACTGGCAATGAGCAACTAGAAAAATATAGTTTGGATAATATACAGTATCTATGAAAAGAGCAATAAAAATATAAAGGTACCAGAAATAAATTCACTAAAAGATGTAGAAAACATTTTTGTGTAAAATTTGAAAGATTCTTGAAAATCTAAATAAATGAATAGATACCCTATATTGATGGATTGGTAGAATCAATTTCTAAAATGCTAAATTTCTGCCACTTATAAGTTGAATGTGTTCCTATTAAAATTTAAATGTGGTTTTTGAGATCTACAAGTTGATTCAAATATGTAGAAGGTTGAGGAAAGAACAAAGAATCCAGGACAGTTTTGAAGAGGAAGATCAACCCATGAGGGCTCACTCACTGCCACTGCAGCAGGACTCCTCTAGTTTAAGTAATCATAAAGTGTGATGTGAGCTCAGAGTGTGAGCTCAGAATAGAGCTTAGAAGGAAGCCCACATACATATGGAAATTTGTGTATAGCAGAGATGCTATTTCAAATCAGTGGGGAAATACGAACTTTTAGCAAACTGCATTGGAACAATTGCTTATCCACATGGAAAAAATAAGTTAGATTTCCTACATCAAACAGTATTTAAATGGATTAAAGACTTAACATATGACAAAGTATGACTTTGAAAGGTTTGGAAGAAAATTAAGCAGAATGTTTTTGTAATCCCAGGGTAGGAAAACATTTCTTAAACACCACACCAGCAGCACAAACATAAGGACAAAAAATGTTGAATAGAAAACAAACCATAAATAAATAAATAAATAAATAAATGCCAACAAATGTGACACTATAATAGTTTTTTAAAAACCCTTTGGACATAAAGGTACTGTAAACAAGTGGAAAACACAAACCTTAGGCATGGAGCAGACATTTGGCATGCACACAGCCAAGAAAGGATTTGGCTCAGAATTTACAAACAGCTTCAATGTAAAAGGCCAAATGGTAAGAATGTGGAATCCTCAAAAGGACACTAACAGCCTCAAAACATAAAAGAAAACATGTTCCTTCCTCCTGGTAATTGACACCATGTAAATGAAACAAAGAGGAACTGGTATTTCATAGTCATTACACTGGTAAAAGTGAAAAAAAATCTGAGGAGGCCAAGCCCTGCTGAGGGGCAGGTAAACGGACACTCCTTTGGAGGACCCGAGGCAGGCAACACCTAGTAACTCGCCCAGATGGCAGGGCCAGAGGGTTTGAGCACCTCCGGCTTCACACAGCAGTGTTTGTGACAATGAAAAGCTGGAAGAAAGCTTAAGTACCCAGGTATGGGATCTAGCAAGGAACAGTTGTTTTATTAAATACATTGCATACAGATGTGTTTGATTCTTTTATTTTCTGTACTTATTTTTGTCTGCCTAAAAATCAGCCCTGTGAGAGTTATGGAGAAAAAGCACTTACATGGTGCCTGTGTGACTGTCAATCCGTGTAACTACTTTCAAGGCTAAGCGATAATTTGACTGTAGTGTCATTCTTTTCAACTGCTTGAATGGACTAAGGTGGAAGTTTGGTTAATAATTATATTGACAAGTGTGCTGGAAAACAGACTCTCTCATACACTGCAGGTGGGAAGATAGTTGGACCACACCTCAGTGGAGGTAATTTCGGCATTAACAAAATTGCGAAATCCCTCTGGCCTAGCACAGTTTTCCTCTAGGTCTTTATTCTGAAACTGCCTAGAGGTACTTACAGATAACCCTTATGAGACCAAAGGTTTCTTTACATGAAAATGATAACCTTTATGAGACCAAAGGTTTCTTTACATGAGAGTTCATCTTAGTAACCCCAGCGTTGTTGGTAATATTAATAATTAAACAAACAACCTAACACTATATACACTAGTAATACTAGGTTAATAATGTCTAATACTAATCAATTCTAATTTATAGTACAACTGTAGGATAGACTATTATGCAGCCACCAAAATGATACTGTTGAAACTCTTTAATGATGCAGAAACACTTGCAAAATATTAAGCTAAACTCAAGTAGGTTACAAAATAGTTTGTAAAACAGACCATTAAAAATAGCTATTTTTATTCATTGAGGCAAAGACACCAAATGTTACCAATAGTTACTTCTGGATAGACTATACTGATTTCTATTTTCTTCTGGATTTTTTTCTTGTCTTTCCCCTCAATTCTCTATGTGTAATTCTTATTTTAATAGGAGTCTCCTTTGTTGAAATATTGTAATTTAAACAAGCTGAATGATACCGACTGATAACCACGCCGGAAGGCTGGGATCCAAGAACTACAGACTTGCCTAGTTCCTTGGCAAGTCTAGTTGAGTTTTTGAATTATCACAGAATCTACAGAGACTGAGTGCCTGGGTTCGTCAGTGACTTCGTCACGGACAAGCTGGGAGACTGGGGAAGCCACTTGACCTCTCTGAATCTGGTTTCACCTCCATAAAAAGGATATACAGCCTCGGCCCGCCTAGCTCCTGGCTTTGTTATGCGGGTCAGCGGGGCGGTGTCGGGTCAGCGGGGCAGTGTCACGAGTTCCAGCGCAGTTTGCAAAGCCCCAAGCGCCGGGCGTGGTGCGGCGATTGCTGTAGCTGCAGCCCAGCCACAGGAGCAGCGACACCAGCTGGGGGCGCGCGGGGACGGGGCGGGGGGCGGGGGCGGGAACGCGCGCGGGCCTCGGGCGCCGGGGAGGGCTCGGGGGCGCCCCGGCGGCTGCAGGCTAGCGAAGGGCGCGCTTGTCGCTTCCGCCACCCGCCGGGGATTCCCCCGGAGCGGGGGCCCGGGGAAGTCCCCGCGCGCGGGGGTAAAAGAGCGCGGCGCGGCGCCAGCGCGCCACAGACCCGAAGTCCCCCAGCCATGTCGCGAGGCCTCCAGCTCCTGCTCCTGAGCTGCGGTAGGTCCCGAGACCGCCGGTCTCCCCCGGCCTCCCGACGGCACCCCCTTTCTTCGCTTGCTCACGCCGCTGTCTTTCTCCCTCTTGCAGCCTGCAGCCTGGCGGCAGCAGTGCAGGAACTAAAGGTGGCTTGTTCGGAGAATGTGGACTTGCCTTGCACCGCCCCGCGGAACCCGCGCGTCCCCTACACGGTGTCCTGGGCCAAGGTAAGCGCCGAGAGGCCCTCGGGCGAGGGTTAAGTTGGCTCCATTGGAGGCAGCGGGAATGACCTCCCGAAGGCTGGCGACCTTTAGAGGCTGGGGGTGGGGGCGTCTCCCGCAGCTATCTCCAGTCTGCAACACGCCTCTCTATCCTCGTCTCAAGGCTTTGTGCATCCAGGAACGCGGCAAACTTAGAGATTTTGTTCCGGAGGACCTCAGTCCTTTCCTGCCTCTAAAAATGGCCCGAGATGAATGACCCACATAAGACGTTTGGGGAGGGCAGAAAACTGGTTGGGTCAATTCTGAAAGGCCCCCTGTGGTTGGGTCGGTAGGTCAGGGAGAAAACAGCGAAGGCAGACTTGGACAGTGGACAGGAAGATTTCTGATTTCTGGTGTTTTGTGACAGTGATGCCTATCAGTTTGGGGGTACCGGGTGGAAAATTGGACAAGAAGGCCTGAGAGAAAGAGAGAGAGACAGATTTAGGTTTGTTTCATAGGTAGTAGTTTTCTATCAGTCATCCCTTTTCTGGAATACCCTTGGCCTCCTCTTTTATCCCTTGCTTCTCCGTTCTCTGGCCGTTCTGAGAGAAGCATCAAGGAGGGCGTCTGTGAGGGTGGATGAGTGCTGTCCACGCGTGGAAGACCAAGCGTCATTGTCCCTTCTGTGAGAGGATTGAGTCCCACTGAGCCTTTTTTTTTTTTAAGGTTTCCTTTGAGCCGGAACATTTTCAGATTCTAAGAGTGGGGTTCAGGTGGTATTGCAAAACCAAGCTGCCACTGTTTGCTGTCACTGGCTCTTCACTCACCTCCTTTAATGAGGTTACTGCCACAACAGCACCTCCAGTTTAAGCCGAATGACTATGATTTCACAACCTTATTCTGCCGCTCTCACTCACTGGCCATCGTACCTTGGAGCAAATCCCCGTGTGTTTGTACCTCACCGCCAGAGAAGGGTTCTCTACTGCCGGGCTTAAAAGATGCTATAAGAACCTGAATGTGTGTGTTTGGCTATTTGACAAGGCTTCATAGGACATGTATATTGGGTGTGTGTCCTTGGAGACAGTGCCATGCAACAGAGTTTGCTCTGTTGGTTGGGAAGGCGCGTGCTGAATGAGTTCAGACCGGCACCCAGTGAGTTGTGCACACTGGAAATGGTGCTGCTGTCTTGGCCTTGGGGCACTGTGTTGTGTGTGAAACTAGGTTTGTTATTCCTACTTCATTTCCACCCTGTTCTCTGTGGGATCAGAGAATACATTTCCAAATTGTTGTCATTGTAAACATAATACTATTTCAACAAAAGTAGTTGAAAACCAGTATTATTTGAGTATTCATCATCTGCTAAGCTCTGAGAGAACTATTTAAATATATTAGCTGTTTCATTCCTTCCAAAAGATCTTCCAAGAGATCAGTACTATTTCTTTTTTTGCCTTAGAGATGAGAAAACAGCCTTAGGGAGTGAAGTAACCTCAGCACTGTTATGTGACTGGCTAGTAATTAGTTTATGTGTGCCATGAGATGAAAAAGTTGGAAATTGCTGACTTAAGGTAAAGAAAGTGAAAATGTTCCTGGGCTAGCTGGGGAGGGACTTCGTTATCTTAGAGAAGGGGGAAAACATGAAGTCACTATTCCTTTCAGAGACTAATTTAAAAAACAATGTTAATATCCCCAGGAGAGTAGTGAAAAACTACTCATGAAACAAGCAGATGAAATTTCAGACTGTAAAGTTCAAACAGTTGTCAGGTTAAATATTTTTGCACAAGGTCACTTGGAATATACAGTAAACCATAGCAATTAACCTTGGGCTTCTCTTTGGATGTCAGCTGATGATGTAACTCTGAAATGTATGTGCTTGTTTATTGAACATGGTTCTTGCATGATTTACCCTGAAGTTGTCTTAGAACTGTGTTTGTTTCAAAAAACAACAAAAGTCTCTTGGCATTCTCTTTCTCCTGTTGGTCCATGGAATAGAATCATTGAAAAATCATACCATAGTTTTTTGTTATTGTTTTCTTTTTAGACGTAAACTGTGATTGAGTGGTGGTGGATAGGAGAGCCATTCTCTGCCAATAATAAACTAAATCAGATACCTCAAAAATGATATGCATTTTTCCTTCAAGAACTTTTTAACAGGTCTCAGCATATTCTGTAGATATTCGTTCTTTTCCAACCCAGTAATTATATGTTTGCATTGATGGTTATTGTACAACAAAAACGAATAGAGTGTTGTGGAAATAAGGCCAGTGGTAAAATGTGCAGATACTTCATTTTACAGAAGATTAAGTGTCTTGTTATTCTCCCCGCTGCCCCCTCCCAAATTTCTTGTAAAACATTTCAGTCAAGCTGAGAAGTAGCTGTAAAGTGAGGACTTTAAACCTGGTGGCTCCGGCCAGCCTAGCTCCTGCTACCTCCTTGCACAGATGTGGGTTGCTTGCTGGACACGTGCAGCAGAGTCCCTTAGAGACGATGGGTTTTCCACTGTCCGCCAGACTGAATCGCATTCTTGCAGGTCTTCTGCATATCACAGTTACGGTTATAATGACTCACAGTTAAGAAGTCCATGTACCACTCAGTTCTCCAGGAGCAGAGAGCATCCTGCCACTGTCCAGTTGGCACTGATCACTTGTGATTAACAGAGGACCTGTGTAAACCATGTTCTCTTCATGTGCCTTTTACCAAGATTCAAAGCAGACAGCATCCAGGTGGTGCCTGTAACATTAGGGTGTGTGGGGATGGAACAGTGTCCACTTTATTCTCTCTGTTGCAAAGGTCCAGTGAGAGGGGGCCAGAGGGGGCTTAATGTAGACATGCACAGGGAGGTCAAAGGTGGAGCCAACGGTAGGTAGAGATAGCCCAGGTCTTGTTAACCCAACTTTACTTTCCTTGTCTCTTGGGTGACTTCCTCTCTGGGATCCAACAATGGGTTCTCTCATCCCTTCCTTTATTGTACCTTTAGTAGAGTAGTGATGAAAAAATAAAAGGAATAACCTCCAAATAGCAGCAAGAGAATCGGGGAGGTATTTTGAGAAAATCTGCGAATAAACTGTGGTCCAGCACTCTTCCTCCACTGGCTGAGACCCTGGGTTAGACTGGAGCAGAAGAAGGCATAGCACAGTCCCGTGTCTGCCAAGAGTAAGAACGTCCCTTAAAGGGCTACATCTTGGCTCCGTACTGAGTGTGATTTGTCCATGCTCTCTTTAATGAAGCTGCGTGGGTTTGGAGGGAGAGGATGATGCTGGGTAGAATGTTTGGTCAAGGTCAATGTTTGCTGCTACTACTGATGAGTGTTTCTTAGTTAGGAATGTGCAGTACCATCTTTTATCATGCCAGGAGCTCTGACAACCTGTGTTTATGCATAACGAAAGAGGATATATAGTTCATTTCTGGGTGACACTGTGGGGGACAGACATGCGTCACAAGACAAGTGCCCTTTTTAGATGATTTCCAAAGGAAGGGAGAAAGGGGAAGTAAGACTCTGGTTTCAGAAAAGTGACCCAACTTGAAGCGTATAGTATTTAGAAAAACCCTAGCTGTGGAAGATCCTGGGATGTCCCGTGGACTGAGGATCTGTGGGAGAGCAGGTTAATGGCTTGCATAAGGCTACTTCACCTCGTGGATGTTTCTTATTCTTCATTATGAAGCTGTCTTCCATGGACATTGCTAACCTCCTCTGCAGTGGCGTTATGTGTTCTGTCTCCACCATCTTGTGTAATAGTGAGCCACACAGCAAGGAGGCACTGAGGAGAGCAGAGTGTTTTGGGAAGGGCCGAAGTTGATGAATGGCCCAGGCAGGTGCAATTGGTGCAGCCACAGACCCTGAGGGAGCCAATGGCTGCCACTCACTGTACTGCCTTGATTTTAGAATGCCATCTGTTGTCAGAGAGATTTAAGAACAAGTCTTTAGGAGAAAAAGGAAACATTTGTACATTAAATACAGCGGCACTAAAACACTGAAAGGTGAAAACAGTGTGCGCATTGGCATAAAGAAATCATGTTCTCCCCATTGGCACCTGTACAGTGGTTCTGGTTGAACCACTTTTATGCGTTCCACGTGAGTCAGACTATAAAAGACATAAAGCTGGTTTTCAGGTGTCCGTCATATTTATACTTCATTGTTAATAAATACTTCTAAGTCCCAAATATGTGCTGAGTCCTGGGCCTGGCAGTGGCCGTCCCAAGGTCAAGACTGACCTTTTGCCAGAGGACCATCTAAGCAAGGTCATGGACCACAAAATCAAAGTAGGAATCCACAAGCATTTGGGGAAGTGATGGGTAGGTAACCTGTGGTTTAGAGCGGGGGGATTACACAGCAGAGGCTGAGAGACAATGTTAGAAAGGAGGGCGGGAACAGATTGTAAAGAACCTTGAATGCGAAACTTTAAGGTCTTGAACTTTATCATTTTGACAGCAAGGAGCCATTTAAAGTTTTTAAGAAAAGAGGATGACATAATGAAAAATTTCTTATGGTGAAGGACCGAATATGATTCATCCTGAAAGATGCATCTCAGAGTGAGGCTTTATTCTTTCACTACAGTGAAACTTCCAGCAGGTTAACTCGATAAGACTTGAACACATGCATGGGATATCTTTCCTTCCCTCTTGGTCGCCAGTCCTGTCCATGTGGTTCTGTGGAAGAGTGGGCAAGGCAGAATGTGGCTGCCTCAGAGTGGGCAACAGCAGAAGTCTGTGCCAGACCCAGAATGGTGGATTCACTGAGAATTTTGGATACTGACGAGTCACAGCAAAGTTGCTGAAATCTTTTAGCTTGGAAGAGACTGGAGAGGAAGGAGGCAGTTGAGACTTAAATAGAAAAAAACCTAAGCACTTGTTTTCCATGAATAAAAGGGGGAACCTGAGTCACATGAGGACTGGATTGTCTTCGTTCTGCACTTGGTTTTGTCACTACACAAAAAAGAAGAAGAAGAAGTGAAAAGAGTGTCCGTGATGTAAGGGAAGGTTTGATGTACGGAAGGACCAAGAAGAGATTCGCTCACCTAAAAATAAGCATT